CATGTAAAGAGCCTTTCCCATAGACACAGCGTCGGACAGAGCTGATCCTTGAAACCCCCTACCCGGCTTACTTTACTTTACTTTATCCGTCCTCTTGTACCTCTAGAGCTTTCTGTCTTTTGCAAGTTTGATGGCCTGGCTGGGTGGGATATTGTATGTTCTCAGGGTATCCTTCCCACCATGGATCTTTCTTGGTTGTCCTCTTTTTTTTTAACCCTGATACTTTCCTGTAGAAGGCTTTACTGGCAAGCTGGTTAGATGCCATACATGTCAGATGTCCAAACCACCTGATTGTTTGCCTTCGGATGAAGTGGAGGACAGGTGTTGTTCCCACCATTTCTCTGATCTTGTTGTTTCTGACCATGTCCCGTCTGGTTTTCTTGACGGCTCTACTTAGACATCTCATCAAGCAGGTGGTTATCTTACCCTGCTACCTCCACAATTCCGAGTTCGGTACGCTAACAACTAGACCACTGTCTACACCCACAACCTCACCATTACGAGTACTCTAACCACTAAAATACCGACACCACACTTTCAACATGAGTAAGTTAGTTAGTTTTAGTAAGGTTTTACGGCGCTCGCAACTGCATAAGGTCATACGAGCACCAAGGGGTGGATGTCAACAGAGAAGTCCAAACGGGGAATCAGGCTTACTCTGCTCACCTCTCTAGCCTCAACAGCACAAAATCAGCTTCGACTGTCAAGGCACCCAGGAAATAACGGGTCACAACAGAGTGACAAACAGACTAAAGAAATAGAGGGAAAAAATGACGATAGCGAGAATGAGGAAAGAAAAAGCAACAGTTCCTCCTATGTCGTTCCGGCACAGTATGAGCATGACATTTATAAGTCAGCCCATTTACAATTCTGCTGTGCATAAGAACATGTTAATATCCCCCCCCCCCTTTGGGCATGGCCTGAAGACAACAGACGTAAGCCAAACATACACAAATAAAAGCGCAAAAATTAGTGAACAACAGCAACAGGAATGTGTTTTATTCAGTTTATCACATTGTCAGATTATGTTTGCAAAATTAGACATCGTTTTCAAGAGCATCAACTTCTCTTGAAAAGTTACAATAGGCTTTAAATATAATATTTTATATATCACACATTGAGGAAGGTAATGATATGAAATTAATGCATGCACAGGGATGAAAAACAGATTGCCATTATCACAAAAACCTTTTGGCTTAGGAAAATTAATTATGTTGAGAAGATTCCCCCCCCCCTTTCCAAACCGA